CGGCGGCGGCGGCCGGGAATCGTCCCGCTAATTGAACGAATCGTTCGGCACCATTTGAAGCTTGTTTACGGCGGCCCTTTCGATGGATGCAGTCATCAACTTCAGACCCCTCGCCCAGCGACACACCTTGACGGGGGGGGAGCCGCGTTCGTGCCACATGGCCGTGCGGTGACCACGCTTCAGTTTTGAACGTTCGCGTGGACCGTGCGTGCTCGTCACCCTCGCGGGTAATGTGTGGTCCGTGATTGGACGGTGCCATCCGTACGCGGTCCCCGATCTAGGGATCTGGGGAGGACAGACCCTTTATAATGAGCCCCCACGGCTCATTCGGTGTGCTTTTTCGAGTGGAGAGCTCGCCATGTACGAAGAACGCCACTATATATCTAAACTTTCTTATTGACCTCTCTCTAATGTAAATAAACGTCTGTTCTCTGTTTTCCCATATAAGCATTGCTTCTCGCTATAAGGGACGAGTCCGATGGGAGCCAGCTACCAACGACGAGACCCACAGGACTCAGATCTCAACACGGCCCATACGGCATGCATGAGTGAAACGGCTCAGTATTTGTTTTTTTTTTTTGTTTTTCTTTAGAGCACAGCAATGCTAAGACATACGCAGACGCGCAGTGTTGATACAGAGCGCAGCACTGCAACTTAGGCACAGTCATCGTATCAAGCACAATACTTGAAGGAAACAGCGCAGCGATACACTGCCCACATCAGTACTTCATGAACCAGCCGAAAAGTAACTTGTGCGCATTTGACCCTCTGCATACAGAGCAAAAGAGGCACGTGGCAGTGGCTCTGGTCACTCACATCGTAGAGATCCTCAAGATCAAAGCGCAAATCGCGGCGGAAATCGAATGGCCAATGACGAGGCTCGCGATAAGCTTTTTTTTTTTCTTTTCCTATATCTCATTTTGAAAGCGACGAAGCTTACGAGTTCGAACAGATTACGTCAAGCTGGTCCGTATATAAACGCTTCTGTTCTTTGAGAAGCAGTTGTTAATGACAACTTCCTCAAATAATCGCGCGGTTCGCGGAAATTGTAAGTTCACCAAATTGTTGACGCGTTCATACGCATGTTTATGATTGCGTAAAGCTTCACGCGGCGCTTCGTCCGTAGAAATAGATTACACTCTAAAAAAAGAGCGAGTAAAAAGGGTGTCTTTTTGTCCCACAACAATAATCGTCATCTATATTGCGTTCCATCCTTGCGCTATCGCCCCGCGCCCGGTACATTCCAGTCACGATCGACATACCCATTATCAGGGTTACATTGCATTCTCGATAGGAAAGTGGCCAGCGCCGAGTTTTCAAGAAAGGAAGCGCACGCAAGCTTGATGAGGATTATTGTTGTGGGACAAAAAGACACCCCTTTTACTCGATGTTTTTTTTAGAGTGTACTGACTTTAATTGCGCTACCACATCAGTAACGGAGTTATGTTCAGAAAAATAATGACCACAATTCGTCCTCATCATGCGTGCAACACGCAACTATGGCAACAGCGCGATATTTCCAGCGTGGTCATCAACACAGACATAGCTGGCGTTGAGCCGGTAATTCATGGCTAAGCGAGCGTGTTCTCCCGTCTAACACACTGTATGCGCTCGCTCTGACCAATCACGAAACTTCCCCGAAGTGACGAGTCTTCTATACATCGTATTAGGCATTCCAAGACTCAACATGACTGTGTACTTGGGAACAGTACACTATATATAAAGGCGCGGACAGCAGAAAAAGCACACTCAACAGAACACAGCATCTGCATTTTCTGTTTTTCCTGTCTTCAGCCTGCTGTACCATCAAGTAGAAAGCAATAACAACAACCTCATATTGCCTGCGTCGTTGGCATTACTGACTTAGCCCGAGGACTTTGATGCAGTAGTGCGAGTTTGCTGGATGCCATGAATCTTTGAATATGTAGCAGTGGAAAAGAAAGAAAGAAAGAAAGAAAGAAAGAAAGAAAGAAAGAAAGAAAGAAAGAAAGAAAGAAAGAAAGCGAACCGACCCAAATTCTTCGCGAAAGCGCGTTCACAATCAATAGACTGTGCACAAAATTTTGGCAAGGAAGTCGAAACGTCTTTTTCAACTTTTGTTTGAGCGGTGTACTTTCTTACATGTTTCATCTCGACCAGGCAGCTTTTTTCGTCGAACTGCGACGGCATGAGAGGAGCACACGATCGCGACGACGACACAGCTCATTTAGGATCGATCACTCGATGAATCTGCCACCGAGCGTACAATAAAGTTGGCGCGAGCACTGCACGGAATTAAACGAGACGCGCGGCGCACGGTGGGACTTTCGCTGGCGATCCGTAGACGACGCGCCGTAACGGAAGCCCACTTTAGCGGCGCTGTACCCAAGTGGAGTCGAGGGACAGAGACGCCACGGAACCTTCGCTAGTGCATACAGGCGTGATGCGTCGTGACCTACGCGCGCGTTACCGCGACCTTCCTTTTCTTGCCTCGTGGATCCCTGGCACGTGCGACGTGGCGACGTCGTGCGCCCTTGTTCCAAGGAGTCTGGGGCCTTACGCATCGCGGTGGTGCACCCACGTCGTGTAGATTAGATTTGTGGAGTTTAACGTGCCAAAACCACCATATGATTATGAGAGACGCCGTAGCGGAGGGCTCCGGAAATTTCGACCACCTGGGGTTCTTTAACGTGCACCCAAATCTGAGCACACGGGCCTACAGCATTTCCGCCTCCATCGGAAATGCAGCCGCCGCAGCCGGGATTAGATCCCGCGACCTGCGGGTCAGCAGCCGAGTACCTTAGCCACTAGACCACCGCGGCGGAGCCACCGACGTCGTGTACTATACACCAAACAGCGGAGACCACGCAAAAAGTAAGGTTGCCTCTCTCACTTCGGTGAAGAAAGATAAACGAGCTAGTGCGAACCTTAATTACTCGACATAATTAACGCGTGTCAAACAGTTTCCTACATTCCCTTGTTCCACAATTAATTCACTCGGGAAAAAGTGTATGTGAAACAAATTTATTTATTTATTTATTTATTTATTTATTTATTTATTTATTTATTTATTTATTTATTTGAATACTTTCCATGCCCGAAGGCTTTACAGAAAGGAGTGGGGGTTATACAACAAAAAGTAAGCGAAATGTTACAATTGCTGCAAAATGGAGAGTGAAGTTTGCAGGGTCTATGAGGGATGCGGTGGCAGCGGAAAGGCAGTTCCAGTCTTTGCTTGTTCTGGGAATGAAGGAATCACTGTAGTGGTTTGTTCGGCAAAATGGCACACCTACTTTAAAACGATGGTCGAAACGAGGTGAAATGTAAGAGGGGGAAGAGAGAAGGCTCTCTTTTAAAGATGGATTGTAATGATAAATTTTATGAAAAAGGGAAAGGTGAGAGCATTTTTGACGGAACGATAGGTTAGATTCAGTGTTTTTTTCATGGCTGTGACGCTGGCATGACGGGAATAATTGCACAAAATGAATCGGGCTGCACGGTTTTGAACGGCTTCTAGAGTGAAAGTTAGGGTTACTTGACCGGGATCCCAGATGGCGCATGCGTATTCCAGTTTAGAGCGTACTAACGTTTTGTAAAGGTTTAGTTTCACTGACATGGGTACGGAAGAAAAGTTTCGTACCCATGTCATGAATTAAGCAAACTTAAGGGGTTTGCCGCCAAAGCTGCTCGGTCCGTGGATTACAAAGGTATAACGAACATGAATGGATGGAAACAACTATGCTGAGAGTCCGGCGACGTTTAACAACCCAGCCTCATGCAGGTCACCCACGAGGTGGCGTGGAGGCCTTGCCTCGTCGGCGCTTCTCTTCCCAGGTGGACGGCCCACTCTTGTGTCTTGAAGTTAAGCTGCGCAGAGCAGCGGCCCACTTCGACGCAAGAACCTCCGGAGCTATATACTATGCCATTCTAGCTGCCGTAACAGGTCACTCCGACAACGCTCCACTCTCCTCCCATAATTTTCGATAGCACTCGGGTATTGAGCGGGCAAAATGTGCCCAATCGCACGGGACTTGGGGAGCTGTGTGTGTCCGCAGCTGTCGGCCGCGGACGACTGCATGACGTCGTTTTAGCCTTTGAGTGAGGCGGGGGCAATATCCGCCTGCTTGACTGGCAGTGCTCGGTGATGTGCACTGCGCACGCGCGAACAACTTTGAATTAGTTCTGGCCAGCCGCGTTTCTTTGACGCCCTGGCTCACCTCCTCTGCTCGTAATATTCACTGTCAACTGTACTTTTTTACCCCTACAAGTTCGGCTCTTCATTCGTGCGGCGATCGCAGCTGCGATGCGGCGTAAGCTACGATGGCATTGATTGATTGATTTGTGGGGTCTAACGTCCCAAAACCACCATATGATTATGAGAGACGCCGTAGTGGAGGGCTCCGGAAATTTCGACCACCAGGGGTTCTTTAACGTGCACCCAAATCTGAGCACACGGGCCTACAACATTTCCGCCTCCATCGGAAATGCAGCCGCCGCAGCCGGGATTCGAACCCGCGACCTGCGGGTCAGCAGCCGAGTACCTTAGCCACTTGACCACCGCGGCGGGGCAAGCTACGATGGCAGACGCGCCACTCGATGTCACCTAGAAGTGTGGCAGCTTGGGCTAGTTGGTATGGCATGACGATAGTTATAGCGCGAGAACAAAACGACGACACAGAGACAAGAAGGACACGACAGACACCGCTGCAGCGCGGGCCAGAAACGCGGTTGTTACTTAAACGCGCGACTAAGAGACAACACTATGTCAGTTTTACATCGCTGGAGTATCGAAGACTCCAGAACTCTACTTGACCTGGACATTACGAAGGCCCAATGTAACCAAACCTAACCTGAACTTGCCCCGTGTGATTGATGGTATACTGTGTTCTCGTAACTTTATATAGGTACTGTAGTAACTGTTTACATACAGATACCACTGTATAAGTTTGCTTCATAGGAATCAAGTGCGCACTATCACAGCGGACCCGTGCAGTGTTGAATATAGTATATAGATGACTTACCAGCGTCGAAGGAGGCCTGCTCGTATCCGTCCACTTTATCCATGAGCTCGAGCGGGGGCGCTGAAGGCTCTGGCTCGTCGTCCATCGCGAACGATGCATGAGACCCTGCAGAACAAGAAGAATGGAGAGAAAGATCAGCTGACTCGTTAATAGGAAAGGAAGAGATCACAGGACGTAAGAATAATCAGTACGGTGTTGTGGTCCCCGGCGGCGAGATTGTCTTCGACCACGAAAGAAAGAAGTGGCGTCAGCCATGTGTGCGCAGCCCTGACATGCACTGTATGTAAAGAAGGTGAACACTGTCAGTGCTCTCTTTGTGATCGCTGTATATACCAGAGAACTGGCAAATTTCTTTTCTAGGTGCTCCTTTTTCTCTCGTTCTTAGACACAACCATATGGGATATTATGTCGAGGACACCACAAGGGACATTATTGTAGTATTTAAAAATGCTACAGCGTAGTAATGATAGTGTCACTATAAGTGAACTAATGTGCGCTGAAAAAGCTACTTTTTCTGTGAGTAGAGTCCAAACCCACAACCTTCGATTTGTCGGTTGGGTCAATAATTTGATATATATATACATATATAACGAGATCTAACAGACAATAATGTCAAGGAATGTATAGGGGAAGGTATTAGAACCAATGGAACGTAAATAAGAAGAAATTGAAGTGGGTGAAAAAATAGCTTGCCGTGAGCAGAAATCAAGCATACAACCTTCAAAGGTCGTAGGTTCGAAGGTCGTAGGTTCGATTCCTGCTCATGGCAAGTTATTTTTTCACCCACTTTTCTTTACCCACGAGTGACAAAGGGTGTGCGCTATGTATACACTTATCGAACAGCTAAGTTTGATCTTTGAAAGGGTCAGTCTCGGAGTATACGAAAGAGCGCGTAGACGACTAATCCGGAACGGTTAATCTTTCTAGTAATCAAAATACGAGTCAGCATATTCTTCACAATTTTACGTGTACTGCACCAACGTCGCATTTATGGTAAAATTAATATGGCGAAAGCGAAGACGGTCCAAGGACTAGGATGTCTGGATAACCGGTAACGCCGAAACTGAGGCATGGCGTGGTAAAAAAAATTGTCTTAAGAACACCGCAAGACCTTCCAAGCCTCTCGAGCGTTTGACTCCGCACCGACAGCCGCGTGGGTGCCCGTAGACACAAATAGAAGCGTTACTTAAAGACCCTTCACGCATCACTTGCTGTTTAAAAATTCTAACATTTTTTTTATTTATTCGCTGTCCAACGATCTACGTGGCAGCTTGCGGATGAGTAAAAGAAAGAAAGAAAGGGAAGAAAAGTTTCGTGACCCACGCGGAAACGTAAACCATCGCCGTGTAGTTCCGGCAGTGATAGTTAACAGTTTTGCTGTACGAAAACCGACCGTTATAAATGACACCTTCGTTGCGCTAAGACAAGCGCAAAGGGAAAGCTTCATTTTTTTTTCTACTTTTTAAAACGGCGGCAGACGGGGGACTTGGACAGTTTCAGCCGCTTATCTTGGCACGTGTGAAGAGGTGCAGGAGCAGACGCGGACGTTAGGAAGTGAACCGCGTCAGCGGCTGCAGCCACTGAAACCTTCAACATTTTACCGCGTTAACAGAGAGAAACGCGTTATGTAAACTTAGCCACGTGTCCCACGTGGCAAGCACGGCAGCCAGCTGGACAGGAGTGGTACGCAAAGGGGACACGATGTTGACTGACGCGAAAGAGAGAGTCTGTCGTGTTTGTGTACGTCGCGCGTCTGCGCCGGCGGCCACGTTAACGAAAATAAGATGGAGGCGTTACGCAGGGATCCGTTTCCGGTTTCCCTGCTTTAAGGGGGTTATGGAACGCGCAAGAACTGTGGTCAGGCAAGATCCGGACCAATAGAAGTTAAATTTGTCACACACGATTGATTGACATGTGGAGTTTAACGTCCCGAAACCACCATATGATTATGACACTTCGCGTTCTCTCGCATTGGAGTTGGGAGGTTTTCGCCTTTCGCCACGCTTATTGTAAACACACACAAGCGTACAACACTATAGCCTCCGAGCCCCGCGATGACCGCGACGCGTTTTCGAGACGCCGTAGTGCAGAGCTTCTGAAATTTCCACCACCTGGAATTCCTTAATGTGCACCAAAATCCGAGCACATAGGCCTACAGTATTTTCGCCTCCATCGAAAATGCAGCCGCCGCAGCCGGGATTCGAACGCGCAACCTGTGGTTTAGCAGCCGAGTACCTATTGCCACAAGACCAACGCGGCAGGGCGAAAATTTGTCACACGTGAGGGAAGATGCTAATTGTGTCGAATTCAATGAAATCGGAGCGACATGTTACCGAATGTCTTCAAAAATGCAAACGCACAGTTCTAGAACATGCGACTGCAATGATGGCTTTTTGAACTTTTGGTGGATATTCATATAATTTTATTACTCGATTTTATTATATTTTAAGCATAATCCTTATTTCCTGATATCTTTTGTTTACTAGGACTTGCGATAAGACGAACGTAATCCTTTGGTCCCGTTGAGTTCGCCTTGAGAAGTTTACTACATTCAAGAGTGATGCAGAATACATTGATTTTGACCACTTTGTAAGACATCAGAGGTCCAGTTCACTGATAATTTTCATTTCGTTTGTAACTGCTGAATCACAAAGCTGCAGATATTTCGTACTGGATATATATCGAGGATTTTCATTTCTTAAATAAAATTGATGGCCTGGACAGAAGCTACATCTGTTACAGCCGGCAGGCTTGATTTTCACACCTTTACACGCGGAAAACAAAATACAATTCGGTGCGAATAATGTCGAGCTAAATTTTTTTTTAGTTCCCACGTATTAGACAGGATAACTCGAGGCGCAACCTCCGTAAGGCATACCGAAGCTGAATTCACTCAACTCCGTTTTCATTTGGAAGCAAGAACCATTTGAATTTTGCATGGTTATTGCTGAAAAGACCACGCTGCGAGCGACTGCAAGGCGCCTAAAAATACAGCTATTAAATCTATTCAAAGTTCTTCAACCTTCTGCCAAATGCTGTCGCAGCATGCTAGGGCAACTTCAACTGCAGTGTTTTTTTTTTTTGTTTGTTCTTCAATGGCCTTTATATGTACCATACACGCCTATAAACTATGTCTATGGACGAAATAACAACGTTCGAGATTTTCACGCTTCAAGTGCCTCTTATTCCGCGTTTCAGCCTGTCAGTGATGAAAGTAAAACAAAAAGAAAGCCTGACATTTCTTCGGGCCCACTTAGCGAATTTCTCAAAACTAGTCACATCTTCCTCATCGTCTCTGTATTTCCCCTGCCCCGCCACGATGGTCTAGTGGCTAAGGTACTCGGCTGCTGACTCGCATAGTCGCGGGATCGAATCCCGGCTGCGGCGGCTGCATTTCCGATGGAGGCGGAAATGCTGCAGGTCCGTGTGCTCAGATATGAGTGCACGTTAAAGAACCCCAGGTGGTCGAGATTTCCGGAGCCCTCCTCTATGGCGTCTCTCATAATCATATGGTGGTTTTGGGACGTTAAACCCCACAAATCAACCCTTTCTCCTTAGCACTATAGTGAAACTCGCATAAATTAAACACGCCCGAAACGCGAAATGCCGATGCAATCAGATGACGACAAAACGTTAAAAATAATGTAAGACATGCACGATGACACGTGTACCAAAGTACAGTGCTTTCAGATACTGCGCTTTCTTCCATCTTCTGGTGAGATTCGCTTGATCATTGCAATATATCCCTAAGTAAGCAGCAAACTAACCAACAAACCATGTACATCGAGAAAATTGGGCAAGTCCTCGACGAACAATACAGTATAATCAAAGATTCGTAAAAATTAATTTCATAAAGGAAAAAAGAAACATATCCTTCGGTTTCGGCAAGTCGGAAGGAAAGTTAGAACAAATCGTGTTGAGAAAAAAGGAGCGAATGTTCAGAGTAGTGTGTACTCTACTACGCGGAAGCCATAAGCCGTCCCTTTTTTTGGGATGTTGCCCATTCCAGAAATCTTAGTGGGCGCGACGTATTCTGACTGCAAGGTTTGTCAGCACAAAAGACGAATACCAAAGTAAAGCACGGAAATACAGGTACACTGCTGTGTGGCGTTATTGCACCGGTTAACCTCGAACAATGGTATAACCATCAATTAATGAGATTTAAAAAGCCGGAACAACGAATATGCAAGCAATGATTCAAGTCACCTTTGAAACTGTGCCTTTTGTAGCTGGAGTTTGAGGACGCCACGCTGAGCTCGCGGTTAAGCGCACGCCGCGTGCAGGGCGGCGCGCGCTTGCAGCTTGTCTTAGTGCTCCGCATCGTCAGCGGACGCGGTGAGCGTTATCCGGCACACGCTGACCTCGCACGAATCAGGGATCGAGGGCAGAGCCCAGGGCACAGTTGTTGTACGGCACACCGGTCTGCAGACCGCAGGCGTTGGTATCGAAGCGATCGGCAACACCAAGTCAGATCAGACACAAGGTGATCGCCGAAGCTTCCAGCACGCGGCGATGGGTGTCCAGAACTTCCTCCCGGTAGAGTTCACTATATTGTCAACGTCAGCGTGTAAACATAAGCGCACCAGTAGAGTCGTGTTGTTGTAGTTGTTGCTCATTCAAGGCATAAGGAACAACAGGGAAAAGACTCAGGACAAAGAGTCGATGCACCGAGAAGACAAGTTGAATGCCGACAGTGGTGGCCAAGAACCTCAACTTGAACCAATCCGCAAGCTCCGGTGCCGCTGGAAAGTGAAAAGAGCCAAGAAGGTGTCGTCCTCCGGATTTCAAAGGGACGCTTTTGTCATCACGACATCGCGTGCCAGGTTACGCGAAAGACAAAGAGCCCTCTTGATTGGCGCCACGCACAGACATACCCTCTTGGCCCGTTTAAGCGTTCATGATCGCTTTCCTTGCCCTTGGCGGTGTGTATTTACGTCGCAGAGGGGCACAAACGTCGCCCTGGCGACGAGAGACAAGGAGCTTCAATAGATCGCCTACGTTCGTGCTGTGGTTCTTTGGGCGATCCGTCTTAGCCTTTGCGACTGCGTGAAGAACGCTGAGTTGCAGGCTAAAGCGTCGACCCTCGATGTCGTTGACAAAACAGC